TCCTTTAGCTAATCTCTGGAGTACAAAGAAATACTGGAAGCACATATAGATGCATGATGTCCCCTGTGTGAGAAAATTTTTTTTATTTTTTGTTGCGGGTTTTTTTTCGGGTTTCTGTTTATTTCCGTTTCAGTTATGTAGGCAAATTGTTACAACCTCTTTTAATAGTGTGTACTTTATGTACCGTCTGTTATGCAAGTGCCAGCTACTAACCTTAACCTCAGGCAACTAGGCACCAAAATTAACTTCACTTATATTGGTAATTTAAAAAAAAAGATAGGCAAATTTAAAAATGAATTTTAGGAAAACGAGCAGCACTGACAAGGCCATCTATCTCAGTCTCTGCACTGATGACGGGTATGACAGCGTAACGTATTTATTTATTAAGTTTTTCAATTGAAGAAAACTTTAATGTAGCTCAAGCTTAAACAAACCAGTATTTCAGCAAAACCATGTGGTAATATAGCGGACGTTTCACAACCCAACTTGACTGATGATACAGCAACGACATCATTACATGATTTTCAGCAAAACCCTGTGGTAATGGGACAGATATTTCACAATTCAACTGGACTGGAGAGAAAGAGACTTGCATTTCAAGCAATTAAAAGAAACCTGGTTTGAAAATACTTTTGAATTTGTGTGTAGATTTTTAAATTATTACCTTGTAAGGGTGGTCCTGAGAGAATCCTTGTTGAAAACCATGTACTTGTTGCCAAATCACAGTTGATGTGGACAGTTGAGTTAATTATGAGGACCTAGATAATAACGTCTTTAGGTATTACAATAGATAGATGTCTCCTCAATGGTTCTGTGTAGCAAACCATCTGTCTCATTGGTTTGTAAATCTGTGGAACTTCCGGACAGTGTTTTATCCAAGCATGCAAGCAACAGTTTGCCTATCACTGCAGCACCCACTATTAATGTTGGTCCACGTGTATCACATTACAGGTCGAGTTTTACAGTGACATTATATTGTTTCCTTCAGCATGCCCCAGGTGTGCCCCGGATTCTTGTGGGAAATCGGCTTCACCTGGCTTTCAAGCGGCAGGTTCCAACGGAGCAGGCACGAGCTTACGCAGAAAAGAACAGCATGACGTTCTTCGAGGTCAGTCCGCTCTGCAACTTCAACGTCATCGAGTCCTTCACAGAGCTTTCACGCATCGTGCTGATGAGGCATGGGATGGAGAAATTCTGGAGGCCCAATAGAGGTGAGCTGGTTACTATATTTTTATTTATTTATTTTGTTTCTAACCAGACTTGGGAGAAAACATGTTTTTGTTTTGTTTTTCTTTGTGTAATAGTTACACAAATCCTTCCAGAAAGTGGATCATGTAGATGCATTGCTGCGAGATTTCTTCTTCTATTACTCAGATGTGAATAAATCAGTTTCAGTGCTGAATCCTGTGTTGAATCCCAGAACATCATACACTGTAGTGGACATCATCATTGTTTGCATTTATATTTGCGTCTGGTGTGTCTGGATTGCTTTTTTGATCAAAGGTGAAACTCTGCTTATCGTAGGGACTTGGACCTAATAAATATTAGGTAGCCATTAATTTTCCTCAAAGGCAGAAGAGATAAGACTTAAGAAGTGATCTCTACATTGTCATCTGCAGTCTGCATTTCTGCCAATAGTTTTCATAGCATTTACTGCGGGGTAGTCTCTACTGTGCCCCTACATAAATCAAGCTAGCTCTTTGATAAGAAAACTAAGATTTTTATTTATGTCGTATTTAAAACGCTCTCTGTTGTACAGTTTTTATTGTTTTATTAAATATACTCTCATTTACATAATTACATTTTATGTAGTTGGGGTTTTTTTTTAATGTCATGACAACACAAGTGTGTTTTTTTCCCAAATGGAGAAAATATAAGATTATTATTTTAAAAGTATTCTTAGTTAAGATACTAATTCTGGGTAAACTACTCAGAATAGTCCGGTTTATGTATATTCACAGTTTACACTGATGTTTGCAGGAGTAAAAATCTTTAATTCTATCTCTTGTTACGCAGAATATTCTCTTGCTTAGTAAATTTTATGGATACAATGAAAAGTCTTAATAAGTACTGCAGATCTCTGACACGTGCTCATCCATATTCCTGTGTTTCCACAGTCTTCAGTCTGCAAGATCTGTGCTGCCGTTCTATCGTCTCCTGCACACCGGTGCACCTCATTGACAAACTTCCCCTCCCTGTGGCCATCAAGTCCCACCTTAAGTCTTTCTCCATGGCCAATGGCATGAATGCAGTCATGATGCATGGACGCTCTTACTCTGTGGCTAACAGTGCCGCCTCAGGTGGTAGCGGTGGTGGAAGCAAAGCTAACAGCCTTAAGCGTTCAAAGTCCTTCAGGCCTCCACAGAGTCCTCCAAAGAGCTCGTCGTTGTCCCCTAAAGGAAACTGTAAGATATCATAGTGAAAGAGCAGACTGATGGTTCCTCCATAGAGCCAGTGTTAAAAGTGTTGTTGCTCCAAGAGGTCATGAGGCCAGAGAAAAGTACGGAGGCCTGCCAGCAATGGATATAGCTGTGAACTTTCCTTGACCTTTTGGGAACTGACTTGGATGGTTGGTTTCTGTTATCTCTTTCCGCGTGCTGGTGCCATCTTGTGGATGTTCGTTTACCTGTACTCTACTACAGAGGCTCACTGTGATCAAGTAGAATAAGATTCCCCTGGGACCAACACATGTGAATCGAGGATTACAACTCACCGGTTAACACTACAAACAAATAGAGGGGCTTCTTTTTTAAGGTTTATTGGTATTTAAAATTGGACTTGAAACTGTAAATACATTACGTGCTCTTGTTTTGTTCTGTGGTGATTGTCTTGGGAAGGAATTTCTTATGCTTGTTTTGTTTTGAATGTTTTGGGGAGACCTGCTTCAGTGTTGTCTGTCATTGACATTTTTTTCCAGCCTCAGTTGTCATAACTTATTCAAAATTCACAGTTTTTAAAATAAGATTGAATGTCATGAGAAAATCTTTTTACAAGCAGCCAAGGGCTTAAAGAGAATTTATGATTTATTAACTGAGAGATGATGTTAGTCGAGGCATTACTTAATCTGTAAAACTGTCTGAAAAAATTCAAGCCAAGTTGGCTTGTTGGCAAGACTTAAATTTCAGCCCATTGAAATAATCCTGCATCTCCATCAGTCATTTTTTCAGACAACTGTTTACTTGCTCTGACTTTTTACACCTCTAAAGCTTGTTTTCTTTCTTGGATCACTGCTTAACTGGATTAAACCATCCAGAGCGTGATCAGTTTTAATCTGTTAACTTATTAAACAATTGCTCTGTGCTCATTAGAAAACCTTGTACAAAAACATGTACAGATTGTTTGCTCATTTTGGGGGTTTAATCTTAAAAAACATTTAAACATTTGTGTCTTGGTTCTTAATATTTCATAACTGTAACAGGCGTTGGTGAGAAGAATCTTTTAATTTGGTTGCTTTGCAGATATTTTATATACATGATATGTATTTCTGAATGTAAAACAGTATTCACCTACCTTTCTGTGGCCATGTGGTTATATTTGAGATTGTAATAATTGGTGGTTGGAATATTCTTTAGTAGTTTCATACATTTGGTTGCACTTCTGCAGTTTTCCAGCATTGTTAAATGTGTGTGAATACTAGAAGAACTTACAGTCGTTCTTTACAGATGTGCCGTGGATATAATGCAAGCACAATGTAAGGTTGGATAAAGATTTCAGAAAGGATGTTAAGTATTTTAACCATGGCTACTGATGTTTTCTTTTATTAATTGAACAATCTAAACAAATATTTTAATTTTGATCTGTACTCTTATTTTTGTTCCACGTTCAAAGAACATTGGTGAATTCCCACCTCAGCATTTTCATGGTTAAATACATGTATTCGGCTAATGGGGGGGGGGGCTACAAAAATTGGTGCATGTTTGCTATTGGCTCCTGTTCTATGTGATTTATTGAGACCAGAACAATGGATTAACAACTCTTGGGTGAACATCTAAAGCACTATATGTAAATGTTTGATAATGATTGTTGCTATCAGCGCTGTGTATTGGGATGAAGCCTTAATTCTTATTTTGTCTCCATCAAAAACAGTCAAAATAAAGAGTAAAACTAAGGAGTTGCATTTTTATTTTCATTTACTTGTGTGCTCTAGATTGGGGAAAACATTTCATTCAGACATTTATCAAGTTCACTGTGGGAATTGTGGGAGAATTTTTGTCCTCTTTGTCAGGTCAGAGGCATTAAATCCCGTGGGGGGGTTGAATTGATTAGCTGCTCTCTTGGTATTGGCCAGCTTTGGATATCGGTCTAACATGGCTAGGAGCGCATGAATGCACAGCGGTCAAATGTCACCCAAAGGTTGCAGGGTCATTTCCAATGAAAAGACGAGGGGAGCTGCTTCTGCTTCTGCCTCTGAGCTGGAGCGAGACAAAGATGATTCGCACACAGATGAAAATGTGGCGCTTTATGTCTTCCCACCTGACCGTGGCATCTCTGAACTCCGCGTGAATGAGGGATGGTAGTAAAGTGACCCAAGTCTAGACAAGGAGGACGTGAACAACATGTTTTGCGAGACATGATGCGACACGCCCCGTGTTTGGTTTTCACGCTTTCCGCCCTACGCCACCGACGACTTATTACATTTTTCTCCTTTTCATTTGTGCACGGGACCTGCTTAAATATAACGTGTATAACATCTGAATGTAACTTACAAAAAAGCAAAGAAGAAGAACAATAACTACCGGCTCTCATGAAATTAAAAAGCAAGTTAACCTTTTTTCTTTTTTTCTTTTACAATTGCCATCTCTATAAATTCTGTCTGGACACATTTAACATTGGATTTCTCACCGGAATGTGTATGTCTGTGCACGCTTGGTGAGACAGCTTGAAACCACGGCTACACGTTTTCTTTGATGTTTTTACAATGTTTGTCCAGTTGCTTAGCGCATAGTGCTGCTTCATAAAAGTTTGAGACACTGGACGACCATGGGGGCGGATAGAGGGACTGCCCTTTCCACCTCCATTCTCACGCTGAAAAGCTGATATTGCGTTGTCCGCTCATTGTGCAGTTCAGCTCGTTTGTCTAGCTGCTCGACAAAACACACGTCGATTTTTCCTCAGTATTGCACAAGTTTTGATTACCAAGGCGAATATTTTACACAGTCTATTATTTATTACTTTGAGAAATTTGGGTAATTTAATGTCCAGCGCACGGGAACTCGTGTTGATCATTGGGAATACAACTTTTCTCTCTGCGCAAAGAAAAGTGACTCAGCGCACGTTTACGCACAAAAAGGGCGGACGCATTTGAAAATCGACAATAATCGTATTCCTGTGGTGAAGACCCAAAGTTGGAATGGAATTACTTGGTGGTCTACTCATACAAAAGGTCAAATATGCGTAATTTTCCCCTACAGTTCCTCGCGGATAGCCATATAAAGGGTGCAAATTGCCATAGTGCACCAAACTCAAGCAAAGTACGATGGACACGTGCATATTTGTTGACTCTCCTTTTTTGCGATTTACTCGAGGTCTCTTTGTGTGCAAGTGTGGCAGGAACCAAAGTTGAACACGAAGGATTTTGTCCAAACAAGCTGAACGCTAATCTTTGGGTTGATGCACAAAGCACATGTGAGAGGGAATGCGACATCGATGAGGTGAGTTAATCTATAAATGTTAATTTTAATATAAGAAAATCTTTTATTCATCACAGCATTTTGCGATTTGTTCATTTAAATGTTAAAATGCTTATTGTTTTTTATATTGTATATTCAGGACTGTGCTGACTTTGAGAAATGCTGCACCAATGTGTGCGGCTTCAACAGTTGTGTTGCTGCTCGTTTCTCTGATGGCACCCCTGCTCTGCCACATGAACAGGGTGAAGGGAAAGGTGATGCTACCTCCGCCTCCACAGCTACCTGTGAGGGCTTTATCTGCAGCCAGCAGGGATCAACCTGTGACATCTGGGATGGACAGCCGATCTGTAAGTGCCAGGATCGGTGTGAGAAGGAACCCAACTTCACCTGTGCATCAGATGGCCTCACCTATTTCAACCGCTGCTATATGGATGCAGAAGCCTGCATCCGGGGGGTGACTCTAACTGTGGTCCCCTGTCGATTCTACCTCGCTGGCCCTCCCACCAGCCCCCTGCCTCAAGACACTACAGTTCACCCAACCCCAACATCCTCCCAGGAGGATCCCATGCCTCCCACGCTGTACTCCAACCCTCACCACCAGTCCATCTATGTTGGAGGCACAGTCAACTTCCACTGCGATGTCATTGGAGTCCCCAGACCAGATGTAACATGGGAAAAGCAAAGTGACCGGCGTGAACGCCTTGTCATGAGGCCTGATCAGATGTATGGCAATGTGGTTATAACCAATATTGGACAGCTAGTAATTTATAACGCCCAGGTTTGGGATACCGGCATCTACACCTGTATAGCACGGAATTCTGCAGGAGTTCTTCGCGCAGACTATCCTCTGTCTGTTATTCGCCGGTCAGATGATGACTTCTCTGAAGATCCTGAGATGCCCATGGGACGGCCTTTCTCTCCAGCAGATTGCCTGGCGGAAGTCGACCTGAGTGTGTGCAGTGGAGAGCGTCACGTTGACTGGTATTATGACAGCAAGCTGGGCTCCTGTGTGACGTTTAGCAGTGGTGGATGCGAAGACAGCCGAAACCGATTTGAGACTTATGAAGAGTGCAAAGCTTCTTGCCAGAGAGAAGACATGGGGATCTGCTCTCTGCCTGCTGTTCAAGGTCCCTGTAAAGCTTGGGAGGCACGCTGGTCCTGGAATTCCATAACAAAACAGTGCCAAGCCTTTGTCTATGGTGGCTGCCATGGGAATACCAACAACTTCCACACCAAAAAGGAGTGTGAGGCCAACTGCCCGCAACCAAAAAGGAAGCCTTGCAAGACCTGTCGCGTGAAGGGGAAAATGGTGCCCAGCTTATGCCGCAGTGACTTTGCTATTGTGGGCCGACTGACAGAGCTTGTCGAGGATCTGGACTCTGGGTTAGCCCGTTTTAGCTTGGAAGAAGTCTTGAGGGACGAGAAGATGGGCTTGACTTTCTTCAATACCAAACATTTGGAGGTGACTATTGCTAAGATAGACTGGAGCTGTCCCTGTCCCAACATCACTGTTGAGGAAAACCCTTTGCTGGTGATGGGTATGGTGCAGGACGGCATGGCTATCATCCACTCAGACAGCTATGTAAGAGCCATAAATGAACGCAGGCTGAAAAAGCTGCGTGATGCTCTGGGTAAAAAGGCCTGTGACACCTTACTATGACTTAGACTCGTTCTGTCCACAGATGGGTTTTAGTGATGTATGTGTTTGAAATGAAGACAAGCATCAGAACTGCAACAGAAAAGCTGATATTTAATAACTATTTATCAAAACAGAGTAGAACAAGTTAAATACTGCATGCTGATGTAGGTATGAGAGTTTTTTTTATTCCAACACAGATATAATAACATTCCAGATGTGTTGATTCCCATTGTATTAATACTAATGCTAAATTGCTGTTTTCAAATAGGTTTAAGATTTTTTTTCTTATTTGTGAACTTTGCATTGTGAAAACAGCAGCCAAGATAACAGACACACATGTTGATCATGTTGCAAACATCCCTAGCTTGTAATACTAAACAAATAGACATGTATTATAATTACTTTTGCTAATGTTATTTTTTTCTGCTCTTCACTTTCGTTTCTCCATCTTTGTTTCATAAAAAATGTCTTTTATTTCATATAAAGTACAGTATATTCTCTTAATTTTTCCCTCTTCAAAGCACTTCTGCTAAGTCAGTTTCACGCTTACAAAACAAAAAAAGAATAGGCCATTGTCTCAAAGAATATATAGCACAAAGGCAACGTGTTTTTGAGATTTATTAATTTAACTCATGTGCAATACATAAGAATATAGGTTATAGGTTTGAGCACAACAGTTTACATTAACTTAGTTAATCTAATACCAGCATGTGTTAAAATGTGGAGAAAACATGATCCGTTTACGGCTCTTGAAAATTTGGCAATGTATCTGAGCTCCAAGTTAAGGCATTTTGACCATCCTGTATCAGGATGCTTCACACCAAACTTTCCTTCCTGAAAAGAAGACATTTGTTGTTTGCTGGCATGTCCACCTGAAAAACAAATAGCATCAGTAAATCAGTATACTACAAAACCGTTCTCATATTTTGCATGCTGACTTAAGATATGCTGGTTGCTTAAATGGGTTCATTACTTACTATTCTCTCCAGGTACAAACCATTGCTTTGTGCCAGAGAATTGAGGAGCGAGATATCCCTGAGTCCCCATTCTGGGTTTCTGCAAAATCAAACAACAATTTTTAAAAACCCCTGGTCACTTTTGCTTATCTTTATTATGTAATTACAAAAACAATCAAAAATTTTCTTTGTATGTATTTTGTGAGTTTGGCAATTATACAAGTTTATTAATTCTACTGTGTGTGTAGTGGCGGCACTCCGTCTCTATTTCACTCTTCTGTACCACCTTTAGGAGTCAGTCCGGCAACATGCATTTGAAACGCGAGCAAGTCCAGGTACTTTTCTTGCAAAAAATATGTTTATTGAAACTTTTAATTTACATGGCAAGACTTGGTCAAAAAACTGTGTTGCTTCCAGCTTATCCGACTCCCCAACTACGTAATTACAGTGTGCCGGAAGCCCAAAATACTAAAAAGCGCATTAGAATGTCACACTTTTATATTCTATACCTTTAACAAAACAGTATTTTGAAATTAACTAGAAATTATATTCTTAACATCAAACATGTATATTTCTCCTCTAATCATTTTACCAGTACCAATAAAATTAACCTTTAATTGGCTCTTACATCATGCTTAAGGAAAAACATTTTCAAAAGACTATGATGATCTTAGTTGGTTTTAAATATACTGTGTAAAGCCTTCTATGAGCAAACTGACACAATAATTCAGGCTGTCAAACCGACTCCTTCTCAAGACATTTTGCTCACACAGAAACAATAGACTACCCATGTGTTATTTAGGGCTGCTGCAAAATTTTCACTGTCATCTTCACTATGACAGTAAACCGCCAAAGAATTCCCTTTACTGATATTACACCATATAACACAGTGTTTCTTCCTGTGTAATAAGTGTTAAATCCTGATTGCTTATGCTTAAAAGGTAGAAAAAATCTATTCTTCTTATTTATAAATCAGTTACAAGTTAATGGTTGTAAAAAAAAAAAGCAAATTCTGAAAAGAATAATATATATTTTCTCTACTTTTGAGTCCTAAGCAATCTGGATATACCCCTTCCTACCAAGAAACAAGAATCCTATTTTTCTGTTGCAGCATGTTACTGGCTCACTACACTATTTTAAACAGAACAGCAGTGCTGTCAGCAGTGTATTTTGTCTCTATCTGGCAAATGAATTACATTCAAAATAAGAGTGTGGGAGGGAGGACAAATTCTGATCCACATCTCTACAAAAGCTGTGCAAATGGAAGAGTTATTCATATTAATAACATGACATCTAACATTTGATTTTTAAATATCACAAATATCAATACTAGTAAGTACAATAAGGGTTCACAATTCACAAATGCAGGTCACACGCACACACATATATATGTATAGTCATTAGACAAGCTTTATATTAAACAGTTTTATATTAAGTGTTGTTTTTGTCGTTTTGATGAAAGAACCTGAAGAACCCATAGAAATCGCCAAATGTTGCGTTTCTTCCCTGGACATCGTCTGCCACGCTTTTACTTTACTGTGTTGTCCTCAGTAAATGAAAAACATACTTAAGTGGGTTGAGATTAAGTGAAGGCCTAGCCCACTGAAAAAAAAAATCTAACGTCTAATGCAGTATGATCTAATTCATTAACCATTTCCACTGTCAAGTGCTGTCCAATCAGTTTTGTATCGCTTGGATGAATCTGAGACGAGTAGAGCCCCGTACGCTTCAGAATTCATCTGCTACTTGTATCAGCAGTCAGACCATCAACAAACACTTATTTCTGAACATTTAGCTGCATCTCCTTTTACTCTCATCCTCTCTCGTCCACCATTCTTTTGACTGTCAATTATGACACCCTATCTCAGATGCTGTGATGAAAGCGGTGTATTTAAGCAAGAGTGACAGAGTCGCAAATGATACATGAATACTGAGCCTTTACTCCTGTTGACCTATAATATCACTGCTCAGGTTTACTTTTCACAGCAGGCTAACAGGAAATGTTCTGGTAGTTCTGATAGGCAGTCCACCACCGAAGCCTCCTCGTAAGATGACTGGCTTAAACAAAACTGTTAAAGAGCCAGAAAATACAGATGGCATTACCTCTGCCGTAGGCTGTAGTCAAAGTCCACATTGCTTTGAGGGACGATCTGACCATTCACTGCATACGGCTGAGAAAAGCAATAAAACATGTCACTATTACACGTTAAGTTTAGACTTGATAATGGCTCGTGATCTTTGTCATGTTTTGTGACACCAGTCGTTTTGCTACTCACCCCATAAGTCAGTAGAAGGCCCTGAGGTTTCAACATTACTCCAGCCCCTTTGAATAAACCCTAAGAGAAGATAACATCTTAAGAACCACATCGCAGGCAGGAGGACATTTTGTTTTTGGTTTCTGTTTTATTGAAATAAGTGAGGCAGATATTGTGCAGAAGCAGGCTTAAAGTGATTATCTGAAGAGTTGTGGTGCAAGCATACTTCAGTTGGTATTTTTTACACTTACGGCACCAAAAATATCAGGGCCAATGAGTACAATGTCAAGCCAAACGAGGTGAATTTTATAGTAGAAATAGCAAATTATTGATCTAAAACAATCACAAAATGAAGCAAAACAGTTTTGCTGCTACAGCTTTAATCATAACTGAACCTCACTTCATAGTAGCCAGTTGTAGCTAACTTCAATGTGTTGTGCGGCTGGTATGTATGAGATTGAGAGCCTTCTACATTTAGGTTACTATTACACCACTCGTGGTCACAGGGGTCTCTTTTCAACAAAGGTTACAAAGAGGCAGTTTAAGCAAATATGAAAAATGTCTTGACTATGTTAGCAATTTAGGCTTCTCCTTTCAGGAATTGAGTTTCTTTAGTAGAATTGTGTTTATATATGCATTTGAAAAGGGCAAAATACATTGATATTACTACTACTACTAATAAAGGAATCAACCACATTTTAACTTATGATCCTTTTGTAGGTCCATAGGATTAAATTATAAATCCATATGACCACAGCAGGTCCCTAAGGTCATGTCATCAGGACCTGTTGGATGTGCATCATACAAGGCTGAGAACTAAAGGAAGCAGAGCTTTTGTAACGGTGACTCTGGAACTCTCCCTCTGAGCCTGAGATCTGTGGACTCAGGGATCTCTATTAAAAACAGCTAAAAACTCATAGTTTTTAACTTGATTTTGAGAAACTGTTTGTTTTAATGTTTTAGCATTTTTTGTTATGTTGAAAGGTGCTATAAAATTCCCCTTACTTATAAACCCAGAGACAACAGTTCACTTAAGTGGTGAACAGGCTGAAAAATCTTCAAAATCCCAGACCCCTATTTTTTTTTTTAAATTAAGAGAAATAATAAAAGATTCAAGTTGAATATCAGTGGAAAACGAGTCAGCGGGATGGCATTATCAAACGTTTCTTGGTTTTGTTTTTTTCTCTTCATAAGTCATATCACTCCATTTTCCCCTTAGTCCTCCATGCCTATAGTATATAGTAGTGGCTCCATGCCACACAGTTTGAGAGAACCACTGAATCAGCAGTCCTACCTCTGTACAAGCCAAAGGAGAAATATGGATCATGTTGATGTTGAGCACCAGGTCGAGGCTCTCTGGCTGGATTCCTCCCCAGTATTGATAGGGCAGAGAAGCATCCAGGTGGATGGCAGGCTTCACATTGTTCAGCCGATAGCGGGCTCTATATGCTTCTATACTAATGGAAACAAAAGACATTATGGGAACCCTCCAGGCCATCATTCTGTAGCAGGTAGAGTGGTATTAGAAATACGAAGTATAAAACTGCTGTGAAAACACAATTAATTAATTATAATTTCCTGCATTAGATCAGATCAGAGAAACTTGATTGACCCGAGGAGAAATGTGAGTTCTTATTCAACATACAACAAAACAATCGTATATAAAAAGTACGATTATAAACACAGATATAAATAGATGAATAAAAAACAGATATAAATATAAGAGATAAATATTAACGCTGACGTTTCTTGGATATTAACAGTTAATATAGGTGCACAGATGTCCCAGTATATTATCTGTATTTCATAGTTTATACGCATACACACATCTCGTTTACCTGACTATAGACTGGCGATCATACTCAGATGGCTGCCAGGTTATATTCGGCAGGGCCTGAGCAAAGTGTGTGACATGCTGCCCAGTACCGGAGGAGATCTCCAGAGCCAGCAGGGGTCTCCCGGTGTGCACACTATCCCGGAGCACCGCCAGGATGGGCTCCTTGTTCCTTTCCGCTGCGGCGGCGCTCAGCATCGTGCCAAACCCCGGGTATAACAGTCGACTTATACGGCGTAGTTTATGAAACCACTCCAGCAGGTCGGCGTAACGTTACAGCAGACTGAGTCACTCAATCCACCACCCCCGAATGTTTTGCTTTTCGCCCGAAAATGGTCTAGTTCCGCATGTCCTCACGTGACTGATCTCACATCCAATAAGAACACGGGGCGGGCCCAGGTTACAAAAGAATGACGAGCAAAATAAAATTCACATTTTGCACAGGTTTCTTTATTTAAGGGAAAATAGCGTTCACGTGGTAGAAGATATACACATGTCTTACATATGAGCAACACTTCCCACCTCAGATTCAAATACAAAATAAAAGAGACTCTAAAAGCAGTGCATAATAAGTTATAACTCATGTATGAGGAACAGAACATAAATAGAAATTACAAAAATGAATACAATATTTTTGGCAAACACGAATATATTTACAAGTATGGCTAAGGTCTCAATGACACGCACAAATCTAATTAATTAGAGGTTAAACAGGAGATCTATCTACGTATCACTGAATGAAATTAAACATCATTTTTACAAAACAATAACCAATGCGTAAATAATACTGTAACACTTTTGATCTGCTGCTCAGGTTGATTACTACAGCAATGTAAAAAAAAATATCAGAATGTCTTTTTATTGAACACACTTTTATAGGTAGCCAGTGTAATACAGTGCAAACATACTGATTGCTTAAAATCCTTGTGTGCTGTGATGAATAATTGCTTCATAGCCACCTGCTTTATTTGAGTGACTAATTGTACAGTGGTGTGACAGTGACGGCTGCTTTCATGCAATCGTGAGCTGCTCGTCTTTCCCTCCCAGCCCAGCTGCATGCTCTGGATTTTGACTCTGCTCATCTGCCATATTAAGAACTGTTTGCGGTGTGTTTTCGACAGATTTTGAGATTTCTCGTGAACAGGTTTGATCCAGAGGTGAATTTTGACAGAGGACGGTTCGGTTGGTGTCAAGCCCATCTAGACTAGTTGTGGTGGTAACCACGGAATCACCAAAGATTGTATTGGAAAAGACAGATTTGAAAGTGAATGAGGAGTCAAAAAGTGGCTCCTGCACAGCTGCTGGGTCTCTTGGAGGTTTGACAGGAGGAATGGGCGCAGGCTCACTGTTCTTAATCTCTGGCTCTGGTTGTTGATTTGGGCTTGCTGCTTCTTCCTTAATATTGCTCTCTGAATACTCTGAAACCTGGACAGGGAGCAGGTCAGTCTTGACTATCACCTTGTAGTCACTGCTGACACTGGATCGTCGGGACGAGCCCTCTGCTGTTGAAATGACACTGCTTGCGCGAGGGAGACTTTTGGGAGACCACGGCCCTTTCAGTCGCCCTTCTTTTCCCATCGGGGAAGAGAAGCAGTTGAGGCAGCCGGACATTGAGGATGACTTGCCCTGAACATACAACACTGTGATTGGTGAACAAGCAGAGGCTTTGGTAGTTTCAGCTTTGCTTGTGCTCAGTTTAGGATTCATCCCATTGAGTCCTGGATTGATTTTGCCTGTGCCTCCTGAATCTGAAGCGCGCCTTGTCATCTTCCCCCTTGACCCTCTTCGAATACTTTTTGTGCCCCTTCTAAGCCAGAAGTCCTGAGGCAGAACAGGATCTCTCTGTTTTGGTTCACATTGGATATCTGAAATCTTACTGTTAGCAGTGGGCATAGTAGAGGCTTTCTCTTTGTGCTGCTGCTTTGTGTGCTGGGGGGTTGAGGCATCACTGGGTGGTTGGTAGGAGGAGGAGGAAGAACGACGTGATGGAGGGTGCTGCACAGGGCTGCTTCCATTTGACCACGGCTCATTCTCCAGGCTCAGGTTGAACTCAACACTGCTCTCACTTTGGGCCCTGCTCTCAGTGCAATTCAGCCCTGAAAAGAGATTAATTACAATGTTTTTTCAGAGCTAAAATTGATATGAAAATCATTTTAAAAAACATCTCTCTGCTCTTTCACCTTGATATGCTAAATGACCAATAGGGAGCAGCAGTTAACAGTTGCTGGCACTAAGGATCAACATAGAGATTAATATGAAACAAGGTCATGATTGCGATTTGATGGATTTAGTCTTAATTCCTGCATGTTTGTTGAATCCTCTGAATGAGTATCCCAAAGGTTTTACCGTGATTTTGCAGCTCATCATTGTCCTCAAGTCCAGATGGCAAATTGCTGTCATTTGAATGCTTATCTGTGGGGCAAAAAAATAAAACAATTATTGTGTGAATGACACTTTTCTATGCTTAGGCAAGAACAGCACGTGACAGTGTTTTAATTTAATTACTCTGCACTTTATTTTACTATATAATCAATTAAAATTAACAAAAGAAAAAACAAAACAAACACTGGTTAATGGATGCCTCTACCTGTCGCCCACAGCTCAGAAACATCTGGAACAATGTCAGTGGTGGTGCTGTCGAGATGGACAGATGGCAGAGTGGTGGAATGAGGAAGGGGGAGGATGGACGAGATGGAGTCGGTAAATGATGAGGTCAGTGGGTCTTTCCTGCTTTCCTCCACATCAGCTTCTGAGTCTTCCAGCTGTACTGAGCTGTCAGGCAAGCAGTTTACCTCTAATGGGGGCGAGGGACAGACTAAGCTGCTCAGGGCTTCATTGTTGGATGAAAGAATGGAAGAAGTGGGATGTGGATGACGTAAAGGAACAGAAAGATGAAATGGCTGTGAAGATTATGAGGGTTTTTTTTCCAGTAGTGTGGTCACTATATAAACAGATGTAAAGGATGGAGCTTTTACATTATAATCTCAATCTGTTTCGCTTTCACTGCAGCCTGGGATTACAAAGCTACTGCCACAAAAGTCTCTTCCTGCAATGCAGCATTTCTTTGACCTCTGTGGTTCTAATAAAATACCCCACACTGTTCCAAATATAGCCACTCTGTTAGAAAATAAGTCCTGCAGCAGGCTGTATCTGCAAGAACATGCAATATCATAACAAATAACTTTAAATTAGGCTGGTGAAATGAGTTTGCCAATGATGTCCACACTGCTAACACATTACCCAGTTATTTTAGAACTTGGGGACAATGACAAATCAGATATGAGTTAGTGGTATGCTAGCATTAAAAAAAAGCATAAAGCACAAAGCTGTTGGAATTACTGAAGTAAGAGAGTAAAAAGGGTAAGATGACGCCAGACAACGGACCACAGTCTTTCTTACATATGGAACGCCGAAACATGGACTTGACTTTGTCTCTGTCCTTCAGCCGGTTCCTCATACGGGGAAACATTTTCAGAGTGGCTTTTTAAGAGTGACCACATGGGAGACACGCAGAACAGATAGAAGGGAGGGTGTGGATGCCAGCAGAGAGTAAGGGGAAAGAAAGAGAGGGGAGAAGAAGGAAGGGCAAAGACAAGGGGAAAAGAGAGCCGAGGGTGTTGGGAGGAGTGAATAAAAATATAAAGACAAGAGAAAGACAAAGGGGAGAAATACTGAGGATTCCTCAAGAAACTTGACACACCTCATGCACTGGAAAGAATGATGCTTTGAACATGAAACACACACAACATACTCTGATTTTTAATGCACTAAGTATGCTTCTGTAAGTTTTCTTTCTGAGTTACTGATAACTAGTTTGTTCACACAGTGCCGTTGGTATATGTATAGTTACCAAAATGCACATATAAATGATGTGGAAACAGGTTTAGTTTAAAATACACATATTTATTTAAGTTTTCGCACCTTGATGGAAAATCTTAAGGCAGAAAATGGCTTTTTTGTCAAATTCTGGGAAGATGAGCATCCTTCACATGTAGATGTATTTGGACCTGATTTGTCCATCACTTCACTCATGCATCTCTGTACAGTGGCTGTGAATTGGATCTTACGTGAACGCACCTGTATGATCTGCATGTTTCAGCTCTGATGATGATCTTTTGAATTTGAGAAGGAAACACTCACTGCTGTTACGTTGGGGTGAGACGACATCGCATGCTGCTGTGGAGGCTGAGCCTCCAGAGCCATTTGAGCTGATGAAAGAACTGTTGTCGTGACAGGAGAGCTGAGGCTCAGGAACGCCTGAGTGTGTGGGTGTGGGTGGGCGTTCAGGCCCATGCTCGCGGCTATTGGATTTCATCAGCTTCTTCAGCTTCAAAGTAATCCAGTTCCCACGTCTGTGGAAGAGCAGATAATTCAAGGGAAATCAAATAAATAATATAACACAGAGGATGGTCTGCACAGAAAATGCACTGGGCATCGAGGTGGTTCAGCATCACCACTTACCCATCGAATTAAGCCTGAAATTCTTGTGGTCAGATTAAACAATCAATACTTGAAGTTCATTCAGGAATATCTTACAGATGTATCCCAACAGAGACCTTTACTCTAAGTGTGCAGGCTTACTT